ATCTCATCTCCACCCCTAATCCCAGCACCAGCTTTGAATGCTTTTCCACCAAATCAGAGAGCCCACAAACCCAGCTCCTTCTGTTTTGGCTGCTTGGAGTCTGCTGGATGCCTTTTCTGTCTATAAATCCTCCACCCATCAGCCTGGTTTCAAGCCCCAAGAATGTTCATTTTCCATATGCTCCCCAGCTGGCCTCCAGTGCAGTCTCCTAGAGGTTAACCTTGTGTTCAGGAGCATTCTTTTGCAGGCATTACCTTTCCTTAAAAAAATGCAATGCCTCTGTGGTTAGGATATCAAAGCAGCCATGCACATGCACACGCATGCATGCCCACCCATTCATATGTCTCACATGAAAACCATCAAGCTCATTAGGCCGTGTTTCACAATTTCCCAATAAATGCTTACGTTTTCTTGCCACAGAGATGTCTATAATTTACCTGGCAATGTCATTACTAAACTCTGCAACAATTCAACCCAGCCCAACTTATTGGTGGTAGCTGGTTCCTAGCAGAAAAGAGAGTTTTGACATCCTTGGATTTTTCGCCTTCTGCACACTTCCTTGCCCCTCCCATCCCTGGCCCCTACAACAGGCACATCTGTGTTTGTTTCATTGGCCTGCCATATACCCTGCAACCAAACAGAGGCCAAGGATTGTGGGAAACAAACCCATAGTCCCTCAGAGTGCTTCTAACCTGTTCTGTGGCTCTGCTCATTCAAGCTGGGCCAATCTCCGTCTGAGCCTAATAGAAAGCCAGGGGACTGTGTCAGCACAGAGACATCTGCCTCTCAGCTTGCTGTGAAACAAGTGTGCTTTTTGAGAAGCCCACTTGCCTACAATAATGTGAGCAGGACGCGTACATATAAGGAGTTTGAGTCTCCTTAGATTTAGGGGTGGGGACTTTGAGAAAGAAGGTTAGGCTTGAGATGGTTCCAGTTCAATCCATCTTCAGGGATTGAGGCTGGTCCTGGTTGCGGAACAGAGCCTGTGCGAGGCCCTCGGTCCAGGGTTGTGGAGGGTGGGGTGTTTGTTGTGGACAGTTGGCCGCTCCCCCAGGCTTCAGAGCACCCTCACTGAGGCAGAGCCTGTGCTGCAGCTGAGCAGAGCGGGAGCTCAGTGAGGCAAAGCCAGGCTTCGCCAGGGACCTGGCATTGGCTTTGTGCACCCGGGACCTTCAGCATTTGAAGCCTGGGCAGGGGGTGCATCTTCCTGGTGAAGCCAGACAAATCTCCAGGTAGCCATAAACTGACTACACAGCCTTCATTCCTGAACACATGTTCAAAAGCGACAAAATAAATGCAGATGGCTTCTCCAAGCCTCTGTGGAGGATTTTTACATTGACTAAATGAACTGTAAAGCACAGATAAACACACACGTGCTCATACACAACACAGGACAGGGAACAGCAACAGAAAAGTCCTCAGAAATACCAAACCGTAAAACACCAGCACCAGCCTAGAGGAAGCATTGCTGAACATGAGAGATAGACGGAGGCTGAAAGGAAATGCAAGAGCAAAGTCGTGCTGTAATTCGCGGGGAGGAAGCAAGGTGTACATGCATGCACACTCACACTCACACTCACACTCACACTCACACACGCACGCTTTGGAGAAGCACGCAGGCAGAACTTCTGGCAAAAAATTCAGTTTCACTGCTTGGCAGGGTAAGAAATACCTTCCCTGGATATCAACTGTGGATTAAATGCCTTGTCACTAAGACCGGGCCAGTGATTTGGTTGAAGAGACCAGCAGAAAAGAAATGGACAAATGCCATCCTAAGGTCCACTTCCCTTAAGGTCCATGATTAATACGTGTTAGTTATGACTAATCCTCCACCACAGAGCTTGGAAAGTCCCACCAAAATTCCAGATTGAGGGGTCCTGCAAACCCCGCAAAAGCTCTTCATCGTCATCATCATCATCACTGAAGGAGGCTTCTAACGTGCCAGGAAATGGATGATTTTATTAGATTGCCAAACAATCTTACGAAGTAGGCACTATCCCCATTTTACAGACAAGCAGACAAAGGCTCAGAGAGATCAAGTTACAAGCTCAAGTCTGTAAGTGGGGAGAATTTTAGAGACTCACATGCAGCAGAAGGGAGTCCCATCAGCGGGGAACAGAGCTTCTCACCATAGAATTCATTAAGGAAGTGAAGATTATCTGTCCGGACTCTGCCCCTCTCTGCAATAGAATCTCATGATGCTGAAAGCCCCAGCTGGGACAAGGGGGTGATTCAAGGTCATGCAGCTATTCTCAATAAAGTTGGCCCACAAACCATTTTCTCCTGTGTGCTCAAGTTCGTCACATTGCAATACACCTCTGCTTCACGAAGCCCCTGCAAGAAACTAAGAAATAAGGGAAGATAAAGAGAGAGTGGAGTTTCCCAGGAGCCAGGTGCTAGCCCTCCAAGCCTCTCCTATCTCAGAGATGGGTTTAACCTTCGACCAAGCCCAAGGACAAATGTGTACGTTGGATAGAAATAGGCCTTCTATCCGCTTCGAAAAGGCTCGGCCCCGGGTCCAAAGCTAACACGTTGACTCTGGCAGCATCTGAATAGTTACTGAGATGGAACTGGGTAATGCTGCATTACCCTGCCCCTCTGAATTGGAGAGCCTGAGCCGTCAGATGGCCTGCAGCCCAGAGTTCCTTTTGGGAATATTTGTCTCATCCCCAGGTCTCTTCTCAGAGCTGCACCTGCCCAGAAGCACGCTCCTTCAGACTTGCTCTGGACAAGCCAGCAAACTCCTTGCATCCCAGGCAGAGCTCAAGACTCAGCCCTACAAGCCTTTCGGGTCAGTGCCTGGCAAGGCTGGGATCTGGGTCCCTTGTCACTGAAGCCCATCTCCCTCATCAACCAGACCACCCTCTACCGTTCAGAAGTTCCAGAAGAAGACCTTAAGGGCTCCTCAACTGTAGGTCTGAGGACAGAAAGAAAGACCCTATGACAGGCAGCTGCGGTAGCCCTTGCGGCAACTCCTCAACAGGTTTCTCCAACTTTCCAGAATTCACTGTTAACCAGGGCCATGAAACTCCTCCTTTATGTTCCTGTCTTGCTCCTGCAGTGTGGGCTAAACAACTGGGACTCAAGCTCTGTAGACGCCCTCCAGCTGCAGTGTCCCTCAGCCTGCTGTTTTAGGGGTGGAGGGCTTACTAGAAACCCAGAAAAATGGTCACTTTGAAATGCTGAGCGCCTAATAACTAGGCTTGGGCCAGTCATAAGCCTCTCCTTGTCCTGTCAGCTGGGTTATTGTGTTCTTGATGAAGGCTCAGTGAAACAACAGGACGAAAGGTTCTTATGCAGAAGGCTGTGCTTTTCCTGTCTATAACACCCACTCTGAAATGTGATGCTGCTACGTGGGAGAGGCAACGACTGGTATCGAGGGGTCAGGACTGTGCCATCATTGCCACACAGATTTCAATCTTCACGCTGCCACTTACTTACTAAATGACCATGGACAAGTTGGACCCACAGGCCTCAGTTTCCTCGCCTGTAAACTGGAGATGATGCTGGCTCCCTCAAAGGATTTGTGACAGCTAATGGTGGCAGGGTTTGAACATGCCTGGCCCATGATGGGCACGTGGTCAATTCCTTATTTCCTGCCCCCCGTATTTGAGGCATCCAGGATCAAGTGCAGTGTGACGATGTTCCTAACGAAGCCCACTGCTATTTGCTGAGTCTATTTCAAAAGTTCATGTCCCATAAAGGACACATTCCATGCAGGTGTGTGCTAAAGAGATGCCGGTGCATAGGCTGCTTGAGATAAGAGCACACGTGGCCCTGATGAAGGCCGGGCAATCCAGGTGGGCCAGGGGACAGGGCAACAGGGCAGTGCTGGATTAGCAGACACCCGGTATCGCCACCAAGAGGGGAGAGGAGTGCCCTTGTGTTCCAGCCCCAAGAGGATGAGCTGCTTCCCAGTGGGAAATGGGCATCAACAAACTCTTGGACGGACGTCCCTGGTGTCCCCTCAGTCCTGCCTGGGCATGACAGGTGAGACCATCACCACAGTGACCCCTTGCTTGTAATGAACTCCTGCTGGGACTCAGAAGGCATCAAGAAGGTCCCTTCCATTTGGGCAGTTTACAACTTGGGGGGCTGGGAGGGAATGGGTGAAGGACTAGCATTCTTAAGCACCTGCTCTGTGCTAGAAAGTTTCCGGGGTTGTAAACTGACTCTTCAGGATTCCTGGACATAGGCAAGGACCCCTGTTTGGCTCTGATCCTAGGAAGCACAGGCTCAGAGAGTCTCTAAAACCCGGACAAGCTCACAGGGGAGGAGCTGGAACTCGAACCTGTATCTGACTCCAAAGCCCGAACACTTTCCAACTCTGCCCACACTTCTAGAAGGAGCTGCCAGATGAGGAGGGGTGGCCACAGGCTGAGAGTTGGTCACAGGTAAATTTATCCTGTATAATAGATTATTCACGATCCATTTCAGTTTGCTTCTGGGTAACCATCCAATTATTCTGTTGCAAATAGTTAAAAAAAAACAACTCCTGTGTGCCTAAGATGAAAACCACTTGCAAAATACAAAACAAAAACCAAAGCCAAAAAAAAAAAAAAAAAAAAAAAAACACCCATAAACAACCCCAAACCCCAAAATAACAAATGTGCTGGAGAGAAACTTCCAAAACGAAAATTGCCAGGGTGGTTGTTATTGTTCTAGGACCATAACACTGGAGCACATCATAATTCTAATTTTCTAAGCTAACAGCAGAGAATCTGATACAGAACTTGCTGGCCAGAGCTACAGGGTATCACTTTCAGTGGAGGCCAGAACAGTTCTTTTAATTAATTAACCCAACATTAAATGTACCAGAAGAGGGATAGAACTGTGTTTATACACAACTCTGACATCATCTGATTTTAACAAGTTTACTAAAACGACAGTCATGGCCTTGACAATACTGAATGCAAAATACTGGTGTACACAGATTTTACAGAGTGACTCCTGAGGAGCCAGATCACAAAACAAGTTTTAACAGATAGGAGAGGCCTGAGGGAAGGCAAGCACACTGATTTTATTGAGAAAAAAAAGCTTATATACTGTAGGGTTGCTGAAGTTTAATAAATAAAGGTCAACTTATAATATATAAAAACAATATAAACATTTATATGCTACATGCATATCATATAATTTAAAGTAATAATTTATATATGGGGAGAGATGCCAATTCATGTTCTTCCGATTTTTCTCGACAAGGCACACACACAGGACGTGTCTATCCGTATCCACCGCCAGCCCACAAGTTTGTTGTTTTCTGAAGTCAGTGCTCGGACGTAGGTTTGGGACGTTTTGCACTGAGAGTTCCAGTGTTTATCATCAATGCCCCTGCAACCGTTTTTGACTGGCCTGGCTTCCTTACATCGCGTTTCATAAAAATATTGTTTGACGGGAGAGTTGCCGGTTTTGATCTCCCCCAGCACCGTGACCTGGTGTCCCCGAATGTCGATGGCCGACGACTTGTCGGTCACCCACAGACTCTCACTGTCACACACCGAGTACTCCCCTCGGTGACTCTTATGCTCTGCGTACCGTTTCCGCCGTGATGTTCTGTTCGCCACCACGGGGTTGCCCACGTAATCCTCCATGAGATACAAGGGCGGGGGCTCCAAGGGAGTGCTCTCGCTCAGCAGGACCCGCGGTGAGTTGTAACGTCTCTGCTGCCGCAGCAGCTCGGTGTCCATTGCAATCACTGGCTGGAATTCTGACTTGGTGGGCTCTCCCCGCTCCGGCTCTCGGGGGGCCTCTGCTTTCGGCAGGGTGCCCTGGTAATTTTCCTTAACGTCCACCACCTGCTTGGAGAGCTTGTTTTTCAAAATATCTGCCTGGATCAGCTTAATAATCAGGGAATTGAGTGAGTCTTCCGGCAAACTCCTTTGATCCATGTTGTTACCTTGGATGCCACGGAGATAAGCGAGGAATATCACATAAAACAAGATGGACATCACCTTGTTCACCTGTAAGATCTGAAAAGGAAACACAGGTGTTAAGAGCAGGCCTGTGGCAGCTGAGTCTGTGTTATTCCGACACCAGCTACCTGAGGCTGTGTATCCCTGCGAGGGCACGAGAGAGGGTACCCCCGGGTGAGCAATGCAGCTCCCCTCTGGACATTCTGAAGAGGCGATTTCTTTCCCCCACCCCGGGGAAATACTGCAGAATGCCCTCTAGGTCTGCTGACTCTGCTCTTTGCATGGATTGCATTTACATCCGAGGTCTGCTTTATCCTGCAGGCTCTGCTTGTGGGCGGATGATGTCCTACCGCTTCTTTAAACATCCCCCGAGCCTGTAAAGGCGTATCATTCACTCTACCTTGGCAAAGCATGAAAACTTCAAACCTGAGAATTGTAACCATGGAGTAACTTCCCTTCAGCAGCAGCAGCGGTGGCCTTGTGGTTGTCTCAAGAAAGAGTTCGACTGCTCCCTAGCTGCAGCCCCTGGAATGCACTGAGACTGAGGACTGGTTCAGTTGCCCCCATATTATGGTGTCAGAGGTGGGGTCATCCCCGGCCAGGCCACGGCTGGAGCGGTCTGTTCTCCTGCCCTTGGAAATGAACACGTGGGGCCACTACCCTCTCTGCGAGAAGGCGTGCATTCCAGGGTGCTCTGCTGAGCCCTCTGACGGACACGCATCACCAACTGATCTGCTGCATCCCCGGGGACCCTCTCCACAAAACATAGCCCGGCCACAGCACTACTTGCAGAAGACAGAGATGCAGAATAAACCCCTCAAATAAATGGACTGGACTTGCCCAGAATGGAAGAGTCATTGTTGATTCACTTTCCTCCTTTAGATTTCTAACATTTCTGCTACAACATGTTCCTTTTAGCGGTTACGCTTCTTCCAGTTCTACTATTACCTTGTTTAAATAGCATTTCAACCCATCAGCGCTCTCATTCTGTTGCCATAGTAGAAGCTCAACGTTGGGCTCCTGCTGAGTCCCGGTGGAATTACAGTGCTGATCTCGAGACACCTTCATTGCTAGTCTCTCCGTCACTAGAGCAAAGCCCAGATCTTCCAAGGCTTAGCACTGGAAGGAGATGCTCCTGGTGGAGAGGGGCCGCTGAGTTAGCGATCCTAACTTGTACCTGATTCGTCCACCGCCTTGAGCTATTCACTCCTTAATTACCATCGCTACCACCTCACTGGCTCCCAGGGGGGTACATCGTTTCCTCTTTAAAGTTCTGTCTAAACATGGAAAATAAAAACTCTTCCCCTGGTTCACCTTTGGTATTTTTGGAAAGGCTTTACTAAGTCCAGAGGGAAGACAGAGAGGAGATAAACAAAGCCTACACAAGAAACAGAAAAGCAGTCCCGCTAACCAACACCCAGGTCTGAGCCTGCCGGCGCTAACTGGCTCCCAGGACTCACAGAGAGCCTCTTTCCCAGCTTGTCTGAGATACCGCTGGCGGGCTTGTCCCGAGAGGCCAGCGACGGTGAGGCACTCTGCTCACACGGCCTCCTCCTGCCACTGTGATAAGCAGGCTGTCTTTTTTCCATGGGAACTAGTCTTTGGGACAACCGATTCCTTCAAAGTCAAAGCCAAGAGAGGGATTCTAGCTTTGCCGCTCACCCTTAGAGATGACTCTAAGGAATTGTACTATCCTAGGAAAAGGGTTCCCACAGGATAAGGAATCTCCCTCCTATTCTGCGTACGAGTGACATTTCCTTCAATATGACAGGCCCAGCAAAGTGCAACTTGAACTACACAAAAAATATGGCATACGTGGAACTAAGATTACACTCCCTTCCCCCCCAAAAAGAATACAGCTGCAATAAAATCATGTAAGACTGACAGCCTATTGAAAAACAATATATTAAATCTCCCAAAAGCTCAGCCACTGTAAGCTAAGAATACACAGGGTATCCACTCTTAAGGAAATAAATTAAGTATGGTTAGTGAGGCGAAATCCCAGGTAAAATAAGAGTCAAGGTGCAGATTAGTGAGGTAATGACCAGAGTGAACTGAGAGGGAGAATGCTGGCTGATGCTGATGGATTGAGGAGGAAAAAGTAAGAGTCTTTATGGGTGACAGCTGGAATATGGAACCAAAGTGTGTTAGAAGTAGACAAGCCATATAAAGAGACCACTTCATCCTACTCCTTCATCTTATAGATGAGGAAAACCTAAATGTCGTTTAAAGAAATGGAGAGACCCTCAGGGAAGTGAGAGACATTCCCTGTACTCTGGTCCCTACCTCCCTTTTCTGTCGTGCGATGATTGGGTTCACAGGCCCCTTGCTCCAACCCCATTCACTATTCACTGCTACTCAAATCACGATCCACGTGTACTGTCTCTGCTGTTGAAATTTCACCCATTCTTCAGTGTCTGGTACCAAAGCTGACTTTTCTGCAATGCTCCACCAAGATCCCAACAGCAGCACGTGCTGTCTCCTTGCTCTCCCAGCGCCTGGCCATTTCTTTCTTACTTGCCATGATACTTTGTAATAAGTGGTGGGAGTAAGTCATCTGCAGGCTGGTGAGTGTTTCTAAATGCTTCAGAAGACTGTCTTAAAACCCTGCAGGCTTCCTGTGGACTCCATTTCAATAATCCACTTTTAGCTTTTTTCGTAGAGAGCAAGTCCAAGGCTGTTGCTAACAGAACGCCCCAAAACGTTCTGTTTCCAGAGGTTTGCAGACGGAAAGGACCGTAGACAACCACCTCGTTTATACAGATAAGGAAACTGAGGCCTGCAGTGGTGGTGAAGTGAGCTAAGGTCCAACTGCTAAACAATGGCAGAGAGTGACAGGGGACATTTAGTTTGCAGGCTCAACAAAAACCACATGGCTTGTGCACCATCAACGTTGTTGTGAGGGGTAAATAATGAAATCCACATGGAAGTACCTAGCATAGTGTCAGGCACAGGGTGAGCACACTAGACATGCTATAGAACATGAACCTGAATGGCCTGTGGCTGCAGGAGATGGGGCACATCTGCCCTTGATGCACACGTGCGAGGGGCCAAGTGTCTGGAGAGCTCCCTCCTCTGCATCTGTAGAGGAGGCTCACAGCAATCCGTACCAACACGGTCTCCGCACTGCTTTCCCCCAATGTCATGGTGCCCGAGGGCTTGGATCTTAGCCCACTTATACTGGTTGTGGGAGAAGAAAAGAATATCATGAACTGGAAGCCCAGGGAACAGAAAAATGACGAAAGCAACCACGGGCAAGGGAGAGGCAGTGTTTCTGAATACGCTGGGGGCAGGAATAGATGGATTCTGATCTTTGGTCACTTTTTGGTCACCAGTACCTTCATTTCTCACTCCAGATCCGGAGTGGGAGTCCCCAGTGAGAGAGTTCCCAGGAGTGAGGAATGGAAACAGGGAGGCGGTGCCAGCTCAATCCAGGCAAGGCACAGCAGTGAGTTTTTCTACTTAGGGGGATGTCTCTGTTCTTTCTCTAGTGGTCACTGCCATCTGCAGAGAGCCCCATTTAAGCAATTGTTATATTGTGCTATTATTGTTGGTGTGTCTCCTCTTTGACGACGGAAACCATGTCCTTTCCATCCACACATCCTTGATGCCCAGCACAGGGCTAGACACTCTGCAGAGTTTTGACGTCTATTTACTGAATGAGTGCCTGCTACGATCGAGACCTACCCAAGGCACTGCTTGCTGGCTGGAGAGGCTGTATGGGCTTTTGCCAAGCCTGGCTTTGGAAGCCAATCAACTCTGCCTTCTTTTCCCAAAGAAAATACAGGCCCTGGCTCTGAAGTCAGCCACGGTCCCCAGGCTCTTCTTGGCTATAATTAGAAAAAGACCTGTTAAAGACCTCAGTAAACCCCCTTTCTACACTCTCCCCAGTGCCCATTTCTCCTGCTCGGAGTTTTCCAAGATCCTGACCGACGTACATGTGCGATTTTCCTCCCTTAGAAATGCTTTCCCACATATGGTGTTTTCTCAGTCCCTGGAGCAACATTCCTACAAGGTTTCACCATCCCTCAAAATACTCAAAAGAGAGCAATTTCTGATTCCTCCTTTTTGGCTCAGTTTACAGCATACACAGAGGGTTTGGGGGTATTCAAGAAGCAGCTGACATGGAAGAGGAAGCTAGGGTAGAGAGTGGCACAGAATCCGAGCCCCCAGCAACCTGCGTCTGCCCTGCCACATGCAGCCTTCATGTTCCAATTCACCTCTCCAGCACCAGCCTCCCTACACAGGAGCACCTCCTGATCATGTACCTAAAGACCTCTCTTGTTGCACATGTATGGAGTAAGTTTTTAGACTACTTAGGGGTGAGATCACCAAGAATAAAAATGCACAGTGCCAGGTACTGGCTTACCTAAATCTTAAATCCTGGCAATAACCGTCCTGAAGTAGGTACTATTATATTTCCCATTTAGATGGGGAAACTGAGGCACAAAGGGGTTCCACGACTAGCTAACAAGCAACAGAGCTAGGATTTGCACTTTCTGGCTCTAGAGCTCGTGTTATTAATGATGACACTCTGTTGCGTCTCTGTCTATCCCTGCTCTCAAACATTCTAGAGAGTTTACTTCCAGGGGAAGCCTAAGCTCCAAGCCTGGAGCCAGGATGGCTGCCGTCAGCAGGCTCTGCCCTTCCCCAAGAAGCCTCAGCTCTAAGCAGAGTTTGCAGAGATTTGAGGCCATCACTCCTATGTCCTCCTCCCCATATTCCCTATGAAAGCATCCCTCACGAAAGTAAACATAATCCAGTTCCCCCACCCTAGTCCCTCCTGGGCCTGACGCCCTCCAGCGCAGATCACCTGTGCCTGCAGAGGCCTGGCTGGAATGGACAGAATACTCAGTGCACCATCTCACATCCTGGGGTTGAGACCAGCACTGGAAATCTGGGCGACTTACAAAGAAAGCAGAAAGGCTCTGCTTTAGCTTTCCTCAGAGAGGAGTCATGAGAGCAGAAGTGAAAGTGGTTTTTAATTTGCCAAATTTTTAATATGCAAATTCAAGAGACTTCATTATTTCTGGTACAGCCATATCCTCTGGAGGCAA